TTTTTTTTTTTTTTTTTTTTTTTGACATCCCTGAACTGTTAAAAGAAAGGAAAAAAAAAAACAACAGTGTCAGTGACCCGCCCTGTCTTACGATATATGGTGCGATAACTTGCCCCTTGATCTCATAAAAAGTTGTCTGAAACTGACCTTGGCTGTTTCTCTGACCCAAACTGCCGTCGGGGTGCGGACTGAGCCCTCATCATTGCCTCCAGCGCCGTCCTTGACATTGGCCAGTCAACCACGACCCTTTCCTCTGGGTACTGGGGATCGTTAGATGCTTCGCCCGGCTGCGGACCTTGGCACGGTTCCCTCGGTTTGCACTGACCTTCGCCGTGGCCCAAATCGCATTGGCTGTAATCAACAACCATGCGATTAGCTTCCCCCTCTTGTGAACCCTGTCCTTGGCTGTCCAGGGTCGGTGCAGTTTCGGGATGCTGCGGCGTCATAAACCCCATTTGGCCAGGATGTTGGACACCGCCCCTGGAAGGTGGGACTTGTACGTTGGCTGCGGGAGCAGCACTTTGCCGCCCACACCTTGACCCTGGGGGTTGCAGGGAACTCGTTTGGTTTCGCAACCCAGGGCTGCCGACAGCACTATCGGTGTTCATCGGTTCTCGCCCAGAGGCGGCGTTTGCTGGAAAATAGAAATAGCTTTATCATTATTTGGGCACATTAAAGAACTTTGGAAATTAAAAAAAATCAGTGCAAAGGATATTTGGAAACATTTTTTTTTTACTTTAGCCTAATTAAAATAAGCCCTGTTATTTTTAGTTTGTTAATTAAATAGAGATTTTACAATTTTTTAAAGACTAAACGAACATATTTTAAACTGTATTAATAGGCCATTTAATCACTGTTATAGTTTTTAATTTAAAAAATTATTAAAATTTGTTTTTAAAGACTTTCTGTCAAAGACGAATTTAATTAAACCACTAAAAATAGGAAATAATTTAAAATTTCATAAAATTCAAAGAAAGTCTGTGCAGAAAATATTAACATAAGAAATCTATCAAAATAAAACATATTTAATTATCGTCCAGATTCAATTTGAATCCGTTGACTACATAAGAGTACTAATCTAAACTTCTGCATAGTCGTTCTTATCTTAATACATTTTAAGAAATGTTTAATTATTTTCTACTTTTTAGTGGTTCAAACTCGTCCTTGATGGTGGGTCTTTTTTAAAAAAAATTCTTTCAAATTAATATTTGTATATTCTCGATCAAAGGGATACATTAAATACTTTGGCATCGATCAAGTACGTGTTGTATAGTGCGAACGGTGGCACATTTTTGTGGATGTTAAGTTTCAAAATGTGGGGACAGATAATTTAATTCTGTCAATGTTGCATATATTATATCGTACTCGTACCAGTGCCGGATACATTGGTAAAAATTATTATTTTTTAATAATAATTATTTTTCATCAATAAGGCGCCCCTTTCCCAATTGTTCAACAGAGGCAAGTGCCTTGTTTATCCCACCCCTGCCCCTTACCCGACTCGTACAGTTTATTTTACCTCGCCTTGCGCCCGGCATGGAGAACCAACCGAAATTGAGATCCTGGCCTCCGACTGGTACGTTCGGTGGCGCGGCTTGGCTTGGATTCAATCCCGTCTGCTGGTTGCGGTCATCGTGACGAGTGCCCAGTTCGCTGACGACGTTGTTCTCGTTGGTGTTCCTGTAGCTGTTCTGTCCACTCGCCGGTTTGGCGGCCCTGGTTAAACTTGTTCCCCTTGGCTTGTCTGACATTGAGCATGTAATGATCTGGGGATTAGAAACAGACCACTACGGAATCAACAGGGCCGGATTTCCCATAGGGCCAAACAAGGTCATGGCCTAAGGCGCAGCAGTCGGGAGCGTATTTACAGAAGAAATGAACAGTCAAATAGTTACAACTTTTGAAGTTTTTTTGTAAAAAAAAAAAAAAAGTCTTATAAAAATGCTGCAGAAGCGTACATTTGACTTAATAAATATAAGTCGTTTCAAGGATTATGAAGATTGTATTAAGTCTAAGTGNAAAAAAAACTTTGTGGTGGGGGGGGGGGGGGAGAAAGTGCAAAAGCGGGCCTGCTCGTCAGCTAGGTAAGGCAACTGTTCATGTGGAAGAGTAATAACCCCGAGTAGAAAAAAAATATATATATATACTGGACATAATCTAAATATGGGGGAAAGGAGGGGGCACCAATTCTCTGCTTTAGCCAAAAATAGTTTTTAAAATTGATTGTAAAAAAATATTTATATATTTTGATCTCAATTCGCAGCGTGTAGCCTAAGAATTATTTAGCACCCCCTGACCTAGTTATAAAATTTATTAAAATGTTCTTTAAGTAACTTTTAATTTTAAAAATAAAATAATTCCAGACATAGTTACTTAAGTTACCTAGGTTTCTAGAAAGAATTTCTCTAATCTCTCTAATAATACATCAGATATATATATATCTGATAAGTATTTACCTGTTGAAAATCAATGTCTTTGATGCTAGAGCAAATTCTTTTACCAAACTGAGCTGACTCTTTGGCCTGTCTTTGGTCGTCAGAAATACTTTCTTTGTTTATAGCATTTTAACAGCCCGGCGCCAAGGAAATGACGCAATGTTATGATGCATAGAGTGCGTTCATTCGGCGATAGCAACCTTTGGTACAGCACATTTACATGTGGCTGAAGTAGATCAGTGACGTGAATTTTGGAGGCCCCTGGCACTTTTTAGGTTTGTGCCCCCTCCATTCAAGATTCATCGTTGTTTTTTTTTCCACAACACAATTTTTGGCCCCATACATATCCAACGACCACTGAAGTCGCAGGGGTTACAGGGCCCACGCGACGGCGCTGGGTCCAGTGCAATAACTAAGGAATGACACTATTGTATTTTGGCTGAGTCTGTGAGAGGGTCATGTTTCTAATCCGCAGATCGTCTTTTTAAAAATACGTGGCTATTGTTCGTGTTTGGCTGGGAAAATATTGGGACGGCTGCTTTACCTACTTCCCGTCAGCCTATCGACTGAAACTTGGCACATAGACTCGTTGCCAATGACAGCATATTCTTTAAAATTGTCAAACCCAACCCCCAAAAATCATTTTATCCTGTTTTTCAAGGGGAATATGAAGGAAAATTCCCGATAAATGCGCTAAATTAGATTATTTTAACAAAATAAATAAAATATTGCAAGTGCGTTTGATGGTAATATTTTTTTTTTCTGAAATAGTTGGTGAAATAAATATGCGGTGTAAAAGCAGATGGGTCATTAGAATATTAATATAATTCATGGACGTGAACAAAATTGTGGTTGTGAGCCTGGGGAAAAAGGGGGGGGGGCACTAATTTGGATTCTTATTAAGTGCGTTACTTGTAGGCATGTTTTATCAAATTTCCAGCCCCGCCCGATTGCTCGAAATTACATTTTATAAAGAATTTATATGAAAAACTTTGTTTTTAAGGGTTGTTTAATAGGTCGTCATCTGGTTTTGATAACCCTGGGCGGTTGCCTGTCCATATGAACATTAGCGTAAACATTAGGGTGGATGGGCGGTACTTTTTCTATGTTTAAAGTAGGGGCGGAATTTTCGATCCACAGCAGATTCTGTCGTGAGGGTTGGAAAAAATATGTGACCACCTCCGGTGACGCTAAGCCTGGCTACGCCACTGCTTATGAGTGTTGCTGGATTCGATAAACTCACGATCCGTAACTTTTTGATCGATTAAAATGTAGGCAATCATCTGACACAGTTTCGAACTTTAAATAAATCTTGGGACATAATTTTTAGCTATCTGAGATATGAAATTTGGGCTAGAATATTTTGGAAGCGGAAACCAACAACCATGACGCTTTAAAATGTTAATGTCTTTGCTGTAATGTTGTATAATTAAAGAGGTCCACAATTGCTTCTCCACAGAGTCAATTGTTTTGCATCAGAGCAGATGCCGGGGCGTCATCAAATTCTTTTTTTTCCTTATTTCTAGTTTTCGTTAATTTGTGCAACCATCCTGGAATGTAACATTACTTGGGGTTATCACTTTAGGTATGATCTTGTAATGCCAGAAACATGTTAATAAATTGGTTTGGACTTGTTTTGTGTGGTATTTTAATTACAGGTTTCATACTTCTTAAAATGTTAATCTGGCAGATAGCCTAAAGTCTAAAGACACTTTCGTCTTTTGAAGTTTGTCTTGAAACGAGACTCAAACAAAAAATGACATATATTTCCCCAAGTTTCTTGACTAATGTTGTTCGGACCGCCAAAGTAAGGCCCTTGAACCGGCATCGGTCCGCTGACCACCATTTGGGGAACGTTGGAATCTAAAACATGAATCTTCAGCAGACCTCAAACCTTGTGGCAGATCACCACCTGAAGCTCCTCACGACAGCTCCACTGTAGAAAGGGACAGCAAATTAAATCTCCAAACGTGTACATCTTTCTATGTTTTAGTGTAAATTATCAGCCCAAAAGACTAATGCAGAGAATTGGTGCCACTAGGGATACATTTAGGGTTCAGGTTAGGTTTAGGGATACATTTAGGTTTCAGGTTAGGTTTAGGGATACATTTATTAGGGTTCAAGTTAGGTTTAGTGTCAGTGAATTATAAAAGTTCATGGGTTGTGGCAACCAAGAAGGCGGTCGTGTGATACGTCTTGGCACCAATTGTCTGCATTTACCGATGCTTATACTTAGTATAATTATAATTGATTTAAACTTTTAAAATATCTTACAATGGCAAAGGTCATCAAGACATCATTAAAATAAAATTTTGAGAACCCTCATATTCTATATATTTATGCTTATAAGTAGGGCGAACAATAGTGTGGTAAGCAGTAAATGTTGAAAAATATTTTATTAAATAAATTTAAGGACTCTTCTATTTTAAAATGATTAATTTTTTTGAAATAAAAGAAATTGACTGCTTATTTACAATTTCTGCTGATCAACTCCTTTTTTAAAGCTCAAACTTCCGTTGCCTACAAAGCCGCATGATTTGACGAATTTTCAATCGCATTTATTTTGATAATAAATTTCTTGAACATATATTCAGTTTGATAAAGCTGAAAATGCCAATATATAAAGGTATTTATTATTTATTTTAAGCCAATTGAACTTTATAGAAACGTTAGGTCAAATTAAAGTTAGCATAGCCACAATCAATAATGAACTACTTCGTCTGGGCTCTGACTCACAAAACTACAACTACAAGACAACTCTTTTTCTTAACTACAAACTACTACTGACTACTACTACATTAATTTGTGTTAAAATCAAAGCAAAGAAGCCCTGGCTTTAAAATATTTTTGAGAATCATTATTGATCATCCACTATTTAAGCAAAAAATATGCCTGGTTAACCTTTTAATAAACTCTAAACTGAACTAACTTAGGACCTATTTACTTATTTCATTTTAAAGTTAAAGTATTATTAAAGTAAAATTATACCTATTTTAAAGTATTTTGTTCAAATACTAAATAAAAAACCATTAAATAAACTGTACAAGATTTTTTTAAAGTGCATTTCATGCAACTTTTGTCATTTGGGGTACTATTCTCATTGTGATTGTTGTTGCAAGGAGATTCGTCTTTAACGTTTACATTTAAAGACATGTTTTTGTGTTGTGTAACGGGATGTATCTACATCAAATCTAAGATAATAATATATATGAAGGACTGCATTCAAGCCATGTAAAGTAAATAAATAGTTGAACTACATATCTAGTTTAAACTTGAACATAAAAGACTAGACAATTAACTTAACCAGACGTTTTGGCTAGATGCCTTCAACAGCAGACAATACAATTAAATGAACAAGAGAAAAAATTTAAATTAAAAAATATTTGAAGCTCTCAGTAATGTCAATTTAGCTCAATGTTAAGAACAGGAAGCATTCTATGTTATTATTGTAAATAACTAAACATTTCATAAATTTTTAAATGACTTGAGCTACAAAGTTGATCTTGGTGTAGGTCTATTTGTAAATCATTGATCATTCAACTTACTCTGTTTAACTATGTTGAATTTATATTTTTTTAGAAAGATTTTGAAATTACACCAAAGTACCTACTATTCAGTGTAGTCCTAAATAATGCACAATCTATTCCTCTATTGAGTCTAGTCTAGGCCAGGATACCATTTACATGTCAGATGAAGTCTAAGAAACCTTTTTTCTCCAGTAAGATGAAAGCTACAGACCCTTTCTTATTTATATGAAAGAATTTAAATTGCATAAAATTACAAAGGCAGTGTCTATACGTCCGGCGTGCCGGATGTATATCTCCCCCACTATTTGTCCGGCGACCAAGTCACATGACCGCCGTAACAAAGTGGCGAGAGATATTTTGTCCATCAGCCTTGTCACGTGACCGCGAATGATTCAAAACTATTGTTAATTTTAAAATCTATTTCTCTACCAAGTAATGTACATCTTGCATGCAAATGATAGAAAAAAACTAAAGTGAAAGTGGCTTGTAAACATTTTTGTTTAGTTTGTTATTTGAGTTTGTGTACCAGCAACCCATAATATAATTAGGGGCCAGTATTCAGTATGGAGTTGGCAACCATTAAAAGTAAAAGATTTTAAATTGTAAAGTTAACATTTTAAATTGCTAAAAATATTTTAAAACTTCTCATAAAACTACTGTTGCTGATGAACATGATAATATAAATATAATATAAAATATTTTTAATTAAAATGGGGGAAAAAAGCGTTCCCATGCTGGGAATCGATCCACAAATATATCCTAGAGCGGCCACACTACCACATGACCACACAAGAGCTTCTTAGTAGATATTTCATTCAGAATAATAACACCTACTATTCGTCCGACGGTCACGTGACATGCTCGCCGGACGTATATCTCCCACACTAATTGTCTGGCGCGCCGGACGTGTAGACACTTCGAATTACAAAAGAAAATGACCTCATGGACACCCCTTTTTAACACCTCATAGGGTCAGTGGACCATAGTTCAAGAACCCTTCTTTAAGCTTAACTCTAATAAAAGTATATTGGAGAGTACCATAATAATTTTTATTTTTAGTTAACATAGATTTCCTTTTAAAAAATCAGGGATAAAACTGTCATTTAGTTTTGTTAGTAGTAGTGGGCCTAATTTTAAAAAAAAAGTAAATTTGTCTCTTAAAAGTCTAGTTCACTTATTTTGATTTTATAATTATAATTAATAAAATAATCTTCAGTATGGGCTTTTTTATAATCATAGCCTGCTGTCCAATACTTAAGGTAAGCCTAATAAACAATTAATGTAATTATATTTATTTACCATTCATTTTTCATTTCATTAAAAATTGCTTGTCATATGAGAAATCTTTACTATCAATGTCTAAATTGTATTATTAATTGTTGCAATCATAATCCAATTAAACAGTGAATGTGAAATGGGGCAAGGAGAAATTTACAGACGTGGAGTGCAATACAGAAGAGTCGCCTGAATTATTTAAAGCTCAATTGTTTGCTCTATCTGGTGTTCATCCATCGCGACAGAAGGTCATGGTCACTGGAGCTATTTTAAAAGTAAAATGTGGTTTTGGCCTTTGCAATGTCTGGGAATAGCCTTCACATGTAGATTTACTTGTATATAACAAAAATTTATTATGTAACTTAATATTAAAATTAATTGGAAATCAATAAAAAAAATTGTATAAGATATATAAATACTTGATAGTTACTTTTTATTAACAAGATGTATTTTATTTACAGGATGATGACTGGGGCCCTGCAAAAAGTAAATTGAAAGATGTAAGTCAAAATATTTAACAAATTACGATAAACATATTGATAGTCTGAAATAATATACAATTTAGACCGTTTAGCCCCAAATAAACTGAAAAGCACTGTAATTATAGCTAATTTTGGAGTTAGAGCAGTCACATGACTTTTGAAATGCACACGCGCAAATGCACACAGACCATGCAGACGCACACTGAGGCATGCACACGCACACAGAGACATGCAGATGCAAGCAGATGCACACAGACAGACACAGAAAGAGACGCACACAGGCAGACACTCAAACACTCACATGCACACACACAGATGCACAGACACACACACCATAGAGACACACACAACACATACACACCTGAAATGAAAACAATTGTAAAAAATATTTACATTTAACATTTTTTTAATTACTTAATGGTTAAAGGTAACACAGTGCTTGTGAAAGCTTGAAACAATTTAGTGTAATCCAGCTCAGCACTTAGTTCATGTTCAATGGATATCATGGATAATCCACAAAGCCTTGCCTGTGCCAAAAATAATCGTAAATATGTTTTGAATAGTGTTAGTTTAGAGAAACTGGACTCATCTTACAACACTGACAAGCATTGAAAGGATGACATGCAAACCCACTTTCATGAAAATCTCTGCTAGGCTGGATTTTAGAATATATTCCACCACATCACAGACTCTCCTGCACTTGGATGAGAGTAAATATGAAAGTGACTGAAGCTCCTCTGCCAGTTCTGTCTTTCGGATGTCAAGCTGACAAGCTTGCTTTTAGCATGTGCTATTAGTGCAGTGGACACAAGTTCTCAATACTCCAGTAGCCTCTGATTTTCCCCAGTGTTTCAGCGAAGGAATGTTGTAAGTGAATGTGAAGATGTTATTGTGCACGCTCAACATATGGAAAACCTTTCACCCAAGGGAGATGATAGCAATGTTGATTGTGTGAAAGAACAAAAACTGCACTTTAAATGTGTGAAAAACTTTGATAAGAGGGTCATCCTGATCAGTCCATCTTCATATCCAAAATAGCACGGCACACATGGGCGCCTTTCAGCTGGCATCTCGGCTGGTAGACCTATGTTTAGTTGCTCGCTTTTGTTTGTTGTTGCATTGACTGCTGATGAGAATAAAGCGTTATTAGTGCGATAGCTGCTTAGCAAGCACTGCATGGCTCCGATTGGCTCGTGGGCAGCGTCAATTTGCATGTTTTCTGCTTGAGTATCTTGCTGACCTTATTGAAATCAACTAGCAGATTGTGCCATATTATCAGTCACAGTAGAGAGCGGAAAGAATCAATTTCTTCTGCTTATGAGTTCGCCTAAAATACATTTTGGAATCTTTGACTTGAAATCATCGCAAATGGTTATTAAGGCTCTTTTAAAAAATCCCACAAGTGTGACTTAAAATGTCCTGCTCCACTTGTGTCAGCCTTTCATCTTTTGTTTCATGGTATTTCTATTCTCAGTTTTACTGTTTCTTTCAAGCTTGTTGTCCAAAATATTTAAATGCGTATGATTATTCCCAGCACTTGTAGCTGAGTTTGCCAACGTAAGTGATACAATGCTTCACATTATGACAGCCGTTCTCAACCTGTGGGTCGCGACCCCTTTGGGGGTTGCGGGACCCTTTTCCAGGGGTCGCCTAAGACCATCTGAAAACACATATCCTTACAGCTATGAAATAGCAATGAAAATAATTGTGTGGCTGGGGGTAGTCACAACACAAGAAACTGTGTTAAAGGGTCGCGGCACTAGAAAGGTTGAGAACCACTTCATTATGACAATATAATGTTTGTCTCACAGGTGTATGGGACTAGTAATTAGGCTACTTTTGGGCAATGAAATATTTCAAATTTGTAGCTTTGTGATTTTCATGCTGAAGTACACAATTTAATTAAATGACCTCAGTTTTGCCTGTAAACCCTGAAATGCTTTTTTTTTTATATCTGTAACCTGATAACTGTATATTCACTTGTAAATTAACCAACTAGATTTAACAGCTTATTTTGATTAAATGATCTCTATATATGTTTGTAAAAAATATCTGTTAAATTTTGTTTCTAAATGCTGATTTTATTTTTAGGGTGTCATGCTGTTAATGATGGGAACTGCTGAAGAGCTGCCTGAGGCTCCAGCTAGCAAGCCAGTATTTGTTGAAGATATGAGTGAACAGCAGCTTGCATCAGCTGTAAGTAGTTTTTTTAAATGTTGGAGATACCTCTTTAATTTATAACACTTTATGTTAATTTCAAGTAAACAATGAATTCAGATCCGGTTGGAAAAACTGTTAGACATCTTACTTTTGTGATTTTGACATTTAGAATTATGAAATCTTGTAACACACACATTTAGCTGATTAGTTTCTATATTTTATTTATTTTGCCAAATTATAATTTTTATATGAATTTCAGAATTTCAGATAACTTAATCTAAATGTGTTTTTTCTCCCCAGCTTGACGTACCTGCTGGTTTAACTAATCTTGGAAATACCTGCTACATGAATGCTACAATCCAATGTCTGCGAGCTGTACCAGAATTAAAAGATGCTTTGAAGAGGTAGGATTTTAAATTATTATGATACAAAAAATTTAAGCTAGCTTTTGAAATATTATAAATACCTGGAAATACTCAAATTTTTCTTCTTAGTCTTTTTTTACTCTTAAGGGGAAAAAAAAAATACTCCAATAATATTTTAATTATTTTTATATCTAAGAAAATAAAACATACAAAAAATATCTAATGATAGCTGAGTCAAAGATGAACAAATTAATATAAATAACTGATCAGATCAGACCTATTTCAGATGAGTTAATTCATTAAATTATTTTAAAAAATCACCTTAAGATTTTTTAAGAAATGTGAAAAAAAAACGGTCACATTGCAGAGAGATAAATAAATAAATACTTTTTGTCCGATTCTTTTTATACAAAAAATAAAAACAATTTGATAATTATGAATTTTGTAAGCTTTTTATTTCTGTTACAGAATGAAATTCTTATCCACAAAATATAATCTGATATGAAATAAATTGAAAATTATGTACTATGATATTATTTAAACAGATATGTAATATTTCTAGTTTCAGTGGAGGTTTAACAGTGGCAGGGGCCATTGCACCAGCTGACTCAATCACAGCAGGTATACATTTTACACCTTTGAGAAATTATTGTTATGGATAATATGAAGAATTAATTTGATTTAATTTAGTATGTCATACAGTTATCCAGACCATAAAGTTTTGAACCTCAGCCCATAATTTATTCATCACTTTCAGCGCTTCGTGATTTGTATGTATCAATGGACAGAACTTCTGCCCCTCTTCCGCCTATCATCTTCCTTCAAGTGCTGCATATGGTATACCCCAGGTTTGCAGAAAAGGGAGAAAATGGAAGTTTCCAGCAACAGGTATTCAACTAGAGCTGTAGAGTTTTGTGTGGGAGGTGGAGGAGGATGCTCTGATTATGGGCTTACGAGTCCTTCATTTAAAATCATGCAGCGCTTGTTTTATTATATAATTGATAAATATAGTCTTGTGATGGATAGACCACTACTAATTTTTCAGGGCATATTATTTACATAAAATATTTTATTTGAGACAGATTTTTTTTCTTATGGTAATTTTTTAAAATCCTTTGTACATTGTCATTTATTTTATTTTTGCCTTTCTTTCAGAAAGTATTAACATGTGTTAATTTTTAAATATATTCCAGGATGCCAATGAATGTTGGACTGAAATCGTTCGAGGTCTCCAGCAGAAGCTGAAGGCAGTTTCTTCAACACGCAGAACCATAGAACCAATGGTAATTTCCACATATGTTATTGTTAGTGCTAGCTTCATGTATCCGGCATATAAGATTAATAGTACTACTGTAGATCTTAATGTTATATACTTATTTTTATTAGAACACTTTCAATATTGTTTTGATTTCAAAGCCATTTGTTTTTTTTTTATGTGGTTTCATTAATATTTGAGAATCAGTGAGTTATTCCTTTTTAAATTTTGTTAAATTTTGTATTCTAAATTGCAGGAAGTTGGAGGTTCAGATTCACCATCTACTTCATCATTTCTATCCGAGGCTGGCCCAAGTCGCGGATTTATTGACCAGTATTTTGGAGGAGAGTTTGACACCTCGTATCCTTTGCAGGAATAATGACTTTTTAGGTTTTATTAGAAGCACAGTCATGGATGGGGATTACTGAAATGTATTTTTACAATCAGTAATGAAACACTATGATTTTATAATTAATAATTTTATTAAGAGGTATTTTTATTTGAAAAGTTAACTTTGACCATGCCTAAGTATTCAAAACTGAGATTTTACACATTATTTCCTTAACGACATTCAAAAGTATGAAATGCAATGAGGCACCTGAAGAGGGTACAGTTATTGGCAAAGAAAAATTTCTGCAGCTTAGTTGTTTTATTGAAAAAGGTAAATTTGTGGTCTATTAGCTAAAGTTGCCAGTAAAACTTTCCCATTAAAATTCTAATTGTATATACCTCTATTTTCAAATAATTTGTTTTTTTAAGAACAAAATATTTAATGGCATTTCTTTTATTATTTGTTATCGTTTGTTTCAGATGTCAAATACATGCACACAGGTTTACAAAGTGTAAGTTGAACTGCTCTTTGTTAAGTTTTTTCTTTGCACTATTAGAAAAGTTTTTGAAATATTTAAATGCTAAACCAACAAAATATATGAAATGCACAAAAAATAATGCTTCAAGGTACTGAGCCTAATCCCACTAATCCCATTGCCCTTCTAGTTAAATTTGTTCTGTTCTTTTATTAGTTACTTGAATTACCTTGTAAATATATGCAGTGCCGGATTTACCTATAAGCTAAATAAGAAAAGCTCAGGGCGTCATAATCTGCTGACGATATATTTTACATTTTTCTTTGACCAACTGATGTAATTAAAAATGGCAGGGGGCCCCTGAACTTCGTATAGCTTAGGGCCTTAACAAGTCCAGCCCTAACTATATGTTTACCGGTATTGATTTAACAATGAAATGAAGCAGGCACTAAAAAAAGATACTGCTGTTAATTTCTTCAATCTTAGAATTGTACACTACTTTTCACTCTACTCTCTTGTGAGAACTTCATTGGTTTTTTTCTACATATAACATCTATGGTGACTATTTTAATTTTAGTCTCTATTTAAAATTTTAATTGGTTTTGTTAATATTTTCTAATTAATTTAGAGACTGGAAGAAACAGTTACTAAACACTCTCCCACACTAGGACGTGATGCTGTTTACACTAAATCTGTGAGTGTCGATTACCAGAATTGAAAAAAAATTAGAGATATTTGGTTAAACATCATTTTATATCACAATTAATAAATTTGTCAATGTTATCATTTTTACTGGAAGAATTCAAAACAATGACAAATAATTGTTTTATCAATTTCTCATTTCACAGAGCAAAATTAATCGATTACCAGGCTATTTGACCATTCAGTTTGTCAGGTTTTTTTACAAAGAAAAACAGTCAACAAATGCAAAAATCCTCAAGGTCAGTTGTTTTATTGTCAATTATACCTTGCACTGGAAATTTAGTAGCATATTACTAATCACAAAATGCATTTATTGTCATTTAATTTAAAATGCTTTATAAATTAATTTATCCAAGAATTTTTTTTTTGTTCCTTTATACATGCATACATTTTTTTTTATATAGGATATCAAGTTCCCACTATCTCTAGATGTCTTTGATCTGTGTTCACCAAGTCTACAACAGAAGTTAATTCCAATGAGGGAACGTTTTAAGGCTGCAGAGGACAAGAAAGTGGAATTAGCCCAAGCTGTAAGCTGACAACTACTTTTAAAGAATCAAAGTAGTGAATTTTTAAATATATATACAAGTTACAACTATAATCATTTTAACCATTGAAAATTGTTATCAACTTCTAAACATCACTTTATGGGCAAATGTAAAATGTGTGTTTTATAGTATAATAAATTAACTTACAAAAATATGCCTTTTACAATTTGTTTTGGAAATGGATTTTTTTTTTTTCATGTATTCCAAATTGTATTTAATTAATCCTGTAAAACAATTAACACCAAACAGTACTTTCTCTGTGGATAAGAGTTTTATTATTAACATTTTTAAAAATATCCTTTAATTTTTTCATAATGTTTTAGGGTAAAGGAAAACCTCTTGCTGTGAAAGACACCAAGAAAGATGTCAAGACGGAGCCATATTGGTTTCCAGAAGGTACCTTATTATTTTAATGTATACTTAATAACTTGATGAGTAACACCACAGAACTGTTGTTTTTTTTTGTTTGCCTGCCACTTTTTGTTTTACTTGATGTGGTCTTCATATTTCCTAGTTGTAATTGGCAAGAATGAAAGTTTCTTGGATATACATTTTTTAAAAATATTGGCTTAAATTATGCTTACCATAAATACCTAAACACTCCGTTTATTCTGATTAGCTTTGGTCCAAGGTTAATTTTTAGTATTAACCCAACTATTTTCTTTCAATTACTGATTCTGACAGACATTGGCTCCAATAACTGTGGGTACTATGAACTGTCTGCTGTACTTACACACAAGGGAAGGTCCAGCTCTAGTGGACACTATGTTGCATGGGTTCGTAGAAAAGGGGGTAAGTTAAATAAACATCCCGAAACTTATGCAAGAAGAGAGATGTATTTTTTATAAGACTAGCTTCATCTTTAAAGACATAAGTTTTCTAAAGTCTTCATTTTTGGTTATTTTTACTCTTTTGTTCCTTCCAGCTGTCTTATAAACTGAAATAATACTCAGGCTCAAATTTTCCACCATTTACTGTGTGCTTTCCAGATGAGTGGCTCATGTTTGATGATGACAGAGTGACAGCTGTTACATCTGAGGATATTCTCAAGCTTTCAGGTGGAGGTAAGTCATCAAATCTGTCATGGTTAAACCATGTCATGCATTATCTGCATCAGAAATTGTGGTGTGTTTTGTATGCTTTGAGAGGTGCAGACTGACATTGTCTGTCAGCCGTTTATCAAAGTTTGTCTTATCTAAAAGTAAATGAACAGAATATATGGATGCTATTATTGTTGTGTGTGGAAGGTACTTAACAAAAGTTCAGCGTAATTTATAGCAGAGTATCAAACTCAATGCGCACCCAAAAGAATTTTAAAATATTTTTTAATAGAAAATTTCTTCATTTTGAACATTTTGAGGGTAATAATTCACCAAATATTTTTTTTTTTTACATTTTTATTTCACAAAAGGAACACATTTGAAATATTTTCCTCAGAATAATTTTAAAAAAGGTAATTTAAAAAAAGCTAAGAACCTGTTCCCTTAAGTTACATCCATAGAATTAATTCATTTTCACCTTGATTTATTTCAGGTTTGGTTAAGTTTTTTTATTACCCGGTATTAGAAAAGGCATGGACTGCAGTAACGTTTAAAACGATTTGTTTAAACATTAATGATTTACATGGAAGCTTTACTTAAAGAAAGAAATACATGTTTCACTTAAAAGCCTTCTAGACAATACAAAAAGTGCATTAACACCTAAATGTTATGTACTGGTATCTTATATTTATAAGTGAACAAAAAAAGTACATTTAAAATTTTTAAAGTTGTTTCCCCTTTCTGAGAAGAAACAAATAAATTTTTTCCTCCCCAAAATAAAAATTTCCCCTCTAAGGTCAAGATTTAGCTCCACATTCTGAAAATGCTGTTTTTCCAAAATTAAATTTACATTGATTTTTTTCAGGAGACTGGCATTGTGCTTATGTGCTCTTGTATGGACCACGTCTGCTGGAGATTGATGAAGACAAACAGGAGAGCTAACACCAACAGCAACTAGTCAACATGCTATTGGATTAAGGTCAATAGACTCTACTGCCAGTGACGGTCATTGCAAAGATTTGTTGTACTGTCTGTCACTTGATTCTGTCACATTAAATGGCTTGTGTTGCCTCTTGACATAGAATGGCCTATGTTGTATGAAGGAGCCTTTTCAAACTATTCAGTTTTAATTCTCTTGGAGTCTTCTGCTAGGAAATTATTGAATTTTTATGTCCAGGAATATATTTGATGAGTAACCTAGGATTGACATTTTGATTATAAGTTGCATTTTTTTTGCTCTCATTATTATATTAATAATTTATGATCACTCCTTTTGTACTTGGTACACTATGGCAGGTCACTGGAAACTTTTGACTTTAAATGCGGTACAAGATAGAAATGAGAGGACCTAATTTTTTTGTCATTTAATAATGCTCAAAAAACATAAACAAAGCAAAATTTTCTCCTTTCTTCATTCAGATACCTGTGTACATTTGTTGGTTAATTTTGTTGATTTATTTAAGACTTTTTTTATCATAATTTTTACTACTATTAACTACTATGTCATTGTATCACTCAACCGCGGATCAACAATAATTATTTATTTGTAACAACATGCCATCTTCTAATTTTTATAAATAAAGCTAAAAGTGTGGAAAGGCAGATTTTTTTAAAATGTTCCAGTTAAGTTTTTAAAAAAGTCCATATAACTTGAATAAAAATCATTTTTGTTTTTTAAAAAATTGGTACTGTATTTATTTTTTATTTATTTTTAAAGTAAACAAATTTGAGCTGTGAGCAAAATAAGTTCTTAAAATTTACTTTGCATTGCTTTCAGTGGACTCAGTGGAAACTATGCATTTAAAAAATAATAGATTATTTATGAAGGATATTTTTATTTCAATACAATTACAAAGTGCTTCAATTTGCATTTCTCTTAATCTTTTAATTAGGGTCTCATTCCTGATGCTGTGTAAAGAGGTTTTAAAAGTTTTTGGGGGGGGGGGGGGCATATTGTGAAATATATCTGATTGATATTTGAATTGACAATAATGGGTTATTGATATATTGATGGCACAATAAATTGGGTTGATACTATTATAACATTGTATCATTGTGTGTGATCAGGTCTGGGGAGTGAGCGGGATATTACAGTTCAACTCTTAGCACGCCACATTTGTGCAGTGCTGTTGATCACTGTTCATAAAAGTAAAGGCTGACATCACAAGTTGTAATTTTTCATTTTTAAAACTTGGACGACGACACAGCCTGCTGCCCAATGGCCACCCCTCCCCCAATTGCCATCATAGCTTTGTAAATCATAACATAAAATATATGGAGAGAGTGTTTTGCATCCTAACCACTTCTGTATTAGCAAAACTATGTCTGCCCTCTGAAAATGCAAGTACAGTCCCACCACAAGTCAATGTGCAAGCAGCAATGTCACTGTGAGTGTGAATGATATTTGCGATCTACTTCACTGTACCCGACGTTAAAATGCTTTGGTATTGAAATCTGTGCTTGAACAATGTAACTGATATAAGCAGCATGCTCTGGTTGTGTGTGCAGATGTTGTGTTTAATGCCGCTGTGTTAGCATGGTTTCATTAATAAAACTCAACAAACAAACAAAAATCATTAAAGGTTTTTTTTAATTATAACTTTCTTGCATATAAACCAATTATGAATAAACCAGGATATCTAGTCTGACCTTTACCTGGGATGCATACCAATTTAAAAAAAAAAAAGTACATGTAAAATTTAGGGGGAAAATATGTGAAATCCCTCATGTTAAATGATGTCATTTGTCAGTCTGTTTCTATCCTTGATAAAAAAACAACCATTTTAAATCAGTGGCATTAGATGTTTATTAGAGTTATGTAAGCTAAAAACTTGTATAAAAACGCATCTTTTAATTCATACATTTGTTATGGCTATAACAGCATTAAGTAAATAATCTTTTTAACAAAAAAATTACTTGGTGAGAACTGAGTCAAAAAAAATATGTTCATTTAATTTACTGTGGGATTCCACTTTTTAAAAAAACTGGGAAAATAAGATGATGATAGCTGAGATGTCATTGAATAGGTTAATCACCTCTGGCTTTTTTAACAATAATACAAGGCATTTGCCGCCTCTGGCTTTTTTTATCAATACAAGTCATCACCTGTCTTTTTTAAAAAACAATTATACAAGTCATAAAATACAAGTCCAAATAAAATAAATGTATATCCATATGTACATAGAATCAATTTAACAAAGCTCTTGATACGTTAATACTTGTTCTGTCCAACAAAGCCCACGCATATAAGATATGGGATTGGGGGGGGGGGGGGGGGGCTGTCCAGCTGCCGGGCATTCTCGGACTTGTCAGCAAAGATGAACACAACCATTATCTTTCTAGGTTAAAATCATGTTACCAAACAATACATCAGCGGTTCTCAACATGTGGGTCGCGACCCCTTTGGGGCTCGAATGACCCTTACACAGGGGTCGCCTAAGACCATCGGAAAACACATATTTATGAAGTAACAACGAAAATTATTTTTATTTATGTTTGGGTGTCACCACAACACGAGGAACTGTATTAAAGGGTCGCGGCATTCCGAAGGTTAAGAACCACTGCAATACATAGATTTAACAAATAATGGAGTCGAGTCTACTAGCTAAAGATTTATTCAAATTATTTTGAAATGTCAGAAAAGGTGTCACGTTCGATTAAAATAACAAAAGTTAGATACGATAGCATATGGTTATAGACGGAAATTGGGGGGGGGGGGGGGGGGGGGGGGGCCAGTTGATTTTTTGTTGGACATGTTTTTGCTCGGGGGGGGCACTTGGCTCCCCCCCCCCCTCCCCCCACGGAGATTATAGCTGAAAGAAACCCTGGTTATAGATTGCACATAACAGAATCACTAATTGCCTTATAACTTTCTACTTACCTTAATATCAATAACTTCCGGCTAACCGATAGTGTGAAGTTAACTTCCTTCAGATACACTATAGTTATAAAAAAAATTATTTTTTAGTTGTTTTTTTTTAAAAATGTCCCTTACAAATTAAAAAAAAAAAATTAAATAAGCCCTCATTCACAAAAGATTCATCCAGGCAAATACATTCGGGGGGTCTCATTAGTAGCACGTGTCCTTTTAAATGTTCATGCACAGGGATGTTAATGTTATCAAATGACAGCGGATTATTCCACCACTGCCTCTTTTAAGATTCATCACGTCTCCTAAAATTACAGGGGCGTGGCATTGGCATAGCTTCTTTCCCAGATTCGCAAACGCAATTTAAATACTTCGTTTAAAAAAAAAAAATATCAGTCGTAACGACCCCCCATTCTCCAGGTCCTACACGGCACGATTGTCCGATCTCCCCTGTTGTTTGTGGAAGGAAATGAGAATTTGAGCGAAGGTTCATGATATTCAGGGGCATCGTTTTACGTGCTTAACCAAATGTGATTTTTTTACGGTGAAAATTTAAATGATGTGATTTGAGATCCAGCTTCATGAATCACAAGCGTCGAGCTGTCACGTGACGCTGGTCTCATTAAGGCCACGAAGGGGATTTAACTCCATATTATCACTGAAAGTCACTGTACGTTTGGAAGGAAGACTCGCGGAGATTGTTGAGTTTATCTCACACGGCGGCGAGTCCATTTCCGAAACATTACCGTCTGCATCTGCAACTGTCGTGTATGTTTCCGGTATGTTTTCAGAATTAAAAATACTTTTTTTCGATGACGCTTCAGTACGAACACAATGTTTTACCAAGGGAATTTTGGAGTGATCACGTGACTTTTTTGGGAGCCTGTCAGCTGACGTCGGTGTCTGCGATCCCAGCCTTCTAAGAAACAGAAACCTTAGGACCGGACGGGACAAAAGGTAGCCCAGACCTGAACCTACGGAGATGGCTAGTAATATCCAGATGTTGTAGGACATGGCACTCAGCATGAGGATGTAAGCCAGACCCACGTGGAGCAAGTACATGATGCTTCTCCGGACGTGCAGTGACAGAAATCCGACTCCGCATGTCCTTTAAAAAAAATTTGATGACGAAATCATGTAACATTATGGCTGCATTGAAAGAAAATTAATTTATTACTACTTAACAAATCCATATCAAACCACGTCAAGTCAAACATTCGGAGGCGTCACTAGAGTGGGTGCGAACCCCAACGGGTGACACCCTCAGTGTGGTCACACCATAACAGTGGGGTGACACCCTCGCATTGGGGTGACACTCTCACATTGGGGTGACATCCTCACGGTGAGGCGAAACCCTCCAATGGAAAATTGGCCATATGACAGATATCTAAGTTAATTACCAGAACATGGTGCCTGCCACCAGACAGTGACCATCAGAACACATTGGCAGAAGATTATGCTGCCACCAGACAGTGTCCACCAGAACACATTGGCACAAGAGTATGCTGCCACCAGACACTGTCCACCAGAACACATTGGCCGAAGACTATGCTGCCAACAGACAGTGTCCACCAGAACACATTGGCCGAAGACTATGCTGCCAACAGACAGTGTCCACCAGAACACATTGGCAGAAGAGTATGCTGCCAACAGACAATGTCCACCAGAACACTTTGGCAGAAGAGTATGCTGCCAATAGAGTGTTTACTATAACTATTGTCATATGTTGCGTATATTCCACCGTTTTGCCTATGGCTCAGTGGTATCAGGGCATATTGAACAGTGTAAATCTATTGAACACGCCCAGCGTCCTAAGGCTAATCTGCTAATGCGTGATAGCAAGAAAAAAAATTAAACGGTTCTTGTATACAGTGGAACCTCTCATAACGAGTAATTCGCATAACCAGCAAAAAAAAAACGCGAAGAAGTTGCTCACTGAAACGAGCGACATTTCGCATAACGAGTTACGCAGAAAGGGGAAGTCCCTTCTCCCCCCCCCACCCCCACTTCTGCTTGGAAAAAACTTTGGCCAGAGAGTGTTGTTGAATGTGATTTTGAAACAGTACCTGCGGAGTCTACAGTTAACGAGATTGTGTCATTGGTCAATATCATGGGACTCGAGGTGGACAACAACGATATTGAAGAGTTTGTGACACAGCACGGACAAGAGTTGACCACTGAAGAGCTTATGGAGTTGCATCGTGTTTCACAGCAAGAAATTTTGGAGGAGAGCTCATTAATGGAGGAGGAAGTAGCAGAGCAGCAATCTTCTAGCGCAATAAGAGAAATGCTGAAAGCATGGGAAACTGTTGCATCGTACATTGAGATGCATCACCCTAATAAGAAGTGGCTATTCGAGCTTAAAGTTTATTCAACGATAATGCTGTGACACATTTTTGTTAAATTTTGAAGCGTAGGCAAAAACAGATGTCTTTAGACAGTTTTCTTGTTAAAAAGGATTAATTATTTGTCATAAATTCATATTTTTATTTACGTTTTTTGTTTCAAATCTAAATTGTATTCCAAGTTTTTACACTCCTGAACAATCTATAAGTAATTTTATTTGAATAAATGTTAATAAATTTTTTTGAAAAATGAGTATTTTTTCAGCATGGAACGCATTATCGTATTTTACATTAATTTGTATGGGCAAAATTGTTTCGTTTAACGAGTGTTTCGCTTAACGAGTAAGATTCTGGAACGAATTATGCTCGTTATGAGAGGTTCCACTGTATTTGCAGGGGTGCTTTTTTTGCCTTAGAATTTATAAAGGATTCTGAATGATCCGGTTAAGAATTACTCGGTATTTGGTTCCGGTCGGAAAGGGAAAAGGGGGGGGGGGGCGGGACGGGGGACAAAATGTGTTTACCTCACTGGGTGACACAATCCCTAGTGTTGCCAGTGCAAAAACTTCGCATCTTAAATACTAATTATTTCTTAAAATATATTCGTGTTTTGTTTTTGTTTCTTAGAATTTATAAAGGATTCTGAATGATCCGGTTAAGAATTACTCGGTATTTGGTTCCGGTCGGAAAGGGAAAAGGGGGGGGGGGGCGGGACGGGGGACACAATGTGTTTACCTCACTGGGTGACACAATCCCTAGTGTTGCCAGTGCAAAAACTTCGCATCTTAAATACTAATTATTTCTTAAAATATATTCGTGTTTTGTTTTTGTTTTTTTAAATAAAAACGAAACAATATTTCTTGTACCTTTTGTCATTCCTTCCCGCCAAAGACTGGTCGAGATAAAGAAGATAAATGATAATTTCGTGTAAGATGGCTAATAATGACGTCAACAAGATTGCGACCAGCAAACCTGTTTGAACAAAAAATAAATAAATTCAAACACATTTAGTTTTCTAACAAACTGAGACAAGACGAAGCTAAGCATCCTTTAAATTAATTTTCCCTTCACTGGGAGGTTTCCATTAAATTGTAGAAAATCCCCCCCCCCCCACATTAATTTATAAATATCTAAGTAAATGCAGGGGCATCATTTCAGGTGTTTTCAGGGAAAAAAAAGGGGGGGGGGGGGTACCCCAAAATTTGTCGGTTTGTTAAGTTGTTTAATAGTGGGGGGGCCACGGTACATAACAATTTAAAGAAAACATGCAAATTCAGAGGTGGGGGGGGGGGGGCAAATGCCCCACCCTGCCTTAGGCAAATAACGTCCCTGAGTAAATGTACATTAAGCAATATGGCTGACATATCTACACACAAAGTTGCCACGTGTACGTAGGCTATATCCACAATGCAAATAATTCAT